ATCTCTAATCTTTGGCACTTATATGACCTAATTGTGTTGCAAGTGCTCTAAAAACTCATGCTAAAAAGTAAATTTTCTTTTCTATTTCTTCATCAGCTGATGGCTCAATACTTTCATGTAACATCTCTAATCTTTGGCACTTATATGACCTAATTGTGTTGCAAGTGCTCTAAAAACTCATGCTAAAAAGTAAATTTTCTTTTCTATTTCTTCATCAGCTGATGGCTCAATACTTTCATGTAACATCTCTAATCTTTGGCACTTATATGACCTAATTGTGTTGCAAGTGCTGTAAAACTCATACTAAAACATGAATTTCCTTTTCTTTCTCTCTGTCTCTTTATCAGCTGGTGGCTCAATACGCAGGCCAGTTGTCTCAGCCAATCCTCAGTCTCCAACTGGCAAAGTCCAACCTGGCCAGCTACGGTCAGTACCTGGACAGCTCTCCGGTGGAGAACCCGTACTTCGCCCGCTACTACATGAGCGTGAAGAACTGCAATCTGCCGGGCTATTCCAAGTACAGCACGCCGTGCCCCTCGCAGCCCAGCCTGGCCCCGATCACACAGGACCCCAGCTTTGAGCAGGACAACTTTGTCGAGTCCACCATTGACGCCGTGTACGCCTCTGTGGACGCGCTAGACCGCACCATCCAGCATTTCTGTGGTGCGGATTACACCGAGCCGTGTCTGGAATTTTACATGGCTCCGGATAGACGTGAGAGGTAATGGCAACTCTAGGCAGGGTAAAAAAAAAAAAGTGTTCCTGCTGTTTTAGCAGTTTTTTAACTCTCGAAGAATGGTTTTGCCAGTCGGTTGGTCGTTTTTTAATGGCATCTCTCGACAGGGGAAATAAAGTGTCTTGCTCTTTTAGCAGTTATTTATCTCTTGATAAATGGTTGCTTTGCTAGTCAGTTTGGTCATTTTTTTAAAATGGCAACTCTCGGCAGGAGAATTAAAGTTTCATGCTCTTTAAGCAGTTTTTTAAAACTCTCCAAGATTGGCTGTTTTGCCAGCGGGTTGGTCGTTTTTTGAAGACTTTACTCGCATGTGATGGTGATAAGATGTATACGTTCAGGTTCCTGGTTGGGTAAAGATCTACTTCGTCCCTCCATTTGGAATTTACCCGACCTATTCTTCCACAGTCTCCTCTCTCTACAAAAGCTAGTCTTGGCTCTATAGTATACTGTCAAATGGGAACATATGTTTGAAAATGTATATATTTCTTTTTTCAAGAAATTCGCTGAAAGTTTTCAAAGACCGCATGAAACTCTATGAAGGGTCACATTATGCCCGCAGGCCATAGCTTGCTCTCTTCTCATGTGGGATCTATATACACATAGGGGTGTGTGTGAGCTGGTGGTTGGAGGGCACCTCTGGAAGGTCTTACAAGTTTACTATATAAATTTTGTTTCCATCTATTTGTCTTCTACTCGGCACTAAATGGTTATTTTTAAAAACAAAAATGTGCTTTTATTTTACTCCAAAGGCTTTGAGATCTTGTGTGTAAGTTCCAAACAGACAGTTAGATAACCCCTTTTTGGCCTTATCTGTCCTTCTTTTTTGTGCTTGTTACTCTCTTGTAACACCTCTAAACTTCGCCACTTATTTGACCTTTTTGTGTTGTAAGTGAGGTAAAACTTTTACTAAAAAACCCTGATAGATATGTTGGCTCCTTGAAATATTAGGGACTTTTTTGGCTGCTGGACCTTTTGCTTACAGATATTCTTCATGTTGTTTCATACAGATACAATGCATTGCTGAACAGCGCCACTTTTGTCAGCGAGTCGAAGAGCATGTTCCGGTTCTTGGAGCGGGAAGGAGACACGACCTATGACATTCTGCAGAGCTCTGGTTCACAGTACCAGAAGGTGAGCAGTCAAAACCAGGGCTTCTACTTCTGAGCATCGTCACTGGTGTTGTTTTCTACGCAGGAATCTAGATGATGTTTATTTTTTCATGATCTGTAGAGAGTCTCTACAGAACTGTCTTTGTCATGCACGTCAAACAAAATAGGAGACGACATTTTAACAACAGATTGATTACAACACATGTCCATTTCAGTCTATGATCAGTGATTCAGTAGCTATTCAGGATGTCTCCTAGACCTAATCCAAGTTGTATCATGTTAGCTTAACTATGTATGGATATCTGAGTTTACAAATGAGTCACTTGCTTTGAATAGGAATAGAGTTATGGTGCTTCATATTAGGTTAACTGTGTACGGATATCTGAGTTAACATATATTTGAGTTACTTGCTTTGGATCGGAATCGAGAAAAAGAGACTGAATGCAAGAGTACCTGTTTGTAGTTTGTGGGCCGAAGTGGCAGAATAATGCCGGTATCTTCGTTGTCACTGCCTGCATATTGGCGAATGCCTAATTTCTCCTCGATGGCTCACATATCAGTTACATACTATAGATCGGAATAGAGTTATTTTTCCCAAATGAACCTGTTTGTAGTATGTGGGCCACTTATCTGGCATTTGATGAGGGGTATGTGGGCAGGGGCCGATACTTTGAGAGAATTCTCACTGTTGGTACTGAATAGGTTTAAAAACAAAGGTATGTGTGTCACGACGTGGTGAAATTAGGCACTTGTCTATTTTTGGGGGAATTTGGAGGGATTGGTATCTTTTTAAAGCTTGTTTATTTGTCAACCTTTCGATAAATAGCTGTCTGTATTGAATAGAAGTCGAGATATTTGCGATTGAAGGAGGTGGGTGTCGCCTGGTTTCAGAGGTGAATGGCCAACCTTTTTGGTGACTTCCATAGCTTGAGAGTCCATAGAAACTGAAAATTTATAACTTTTGTGCATTTAATCAACGTTTTTAAGTAAAATCCACTCAAAAATGTGTTTTTAAATGGACATAAAAGTTGTTGAGTCAAAATACAAAAATTAGACTGAAATTTCCAAACCGGCTGAATAATGCTGGTTATCTTTTTTTTGACGAGCTCCTGTTTTCACTGCGATACCTCACAAATGCTTGCAGGTGGGCAGCTACGCCGGGGTGTACCTGGACATGGATGAGACGAGACTCCGACAGTATCCGGGAGTGGTGTCCGAGTGTCCGCCCCCGTGCCTGGACTGCATCATGCGCGGTCTGAACTTCTCTCACACGCCCGGAGATCTGTACCTGGCAGGTGAGAGCTGGTGGAGTGGTGGATTGGAGGTGCATGGGTTTATTGGGGG